AATTTACTGTGTGCCATTTTAGCATGAGAATGCAGTGAAAACGTGCAACTGGATAAAAGCTCCTACTTACAGTTGTTTGATGACAGGCTCATGGGACAAAACACTCAAGGTATTGATTTCGACTGTTTTTCTTTACTGGTCGTTTTTTTCAAGTTTTGGGATATAAGAAGTCCAGGCAATTCAATGGCCAGCGTTTCGTTGCCTGAAAGAGTTTACTGTGCCGATGTGGTAATTTAAAGATAAATGAATCCGGTTTTTTTCACAGCCCTTTCGTTTAGATGTATCCAATGGCCGCCGTCGGTACTGCTGACAAAAATATCAAGATTTACAAATTAGAAGGACAACCGGTTGAGGTCAAGACCATTGAATCGCCTCTTCGGTTTCAGGTAACATTCGGTGTCTGGACTGTTTAAAATTTGATCCGGTTTTAAGCGATTTTTAACAATGTTATAGCACCGATGCATTTCGATTTTCAAAGACCGTGCAACAAACGCCCCTGTCGGGTTCGCCCTTGGTTCGATCGAAGGCCGTGTAGCGATTCAATATGTGGATACGGTGGATGTGAAGGCGAACTTTACTTTTAAATGTCATCGCTCAGCTGAGCTTGTTAATGGCTACCAGGATATTTATGCGGTATGTTCTGCCTCGAAATATATGCTGGTTTGATAATATTATGCTTCTTATTTTCGACAGAATACATGTATAATTGTTTTTTTTAATTTTCCTTTCTCAGTGGGAAGTATTTTGCGTTATATTGTTTTAGTGGAGTTTGGCGCAGATAACGTTATTATTCTCGCTCTTCTCACACTTGTCGATTTCTAAACGATGAGGCAACTTCGGTGCAACCTTTTAATGTCCCAAGAAGATCCACGTCTTCGTCTTTTTGTTTCTTACAGACGCGTAACCACATTTTATTAGAAAATTCATGAATGGCTAGCTGAGAATGTTTCTTTTTGTTGCTGTATTTTCATTGCATCTCTTCTATTCCTGGTGCTTAGAAAGATGCCACAGCAGGCTAGGGAGAAAAGTTTATACTGTTGATGCGGCAGTTTGTTCGTATTTTAAAGTTAGAATAGTTGTTAAATGGCCATTTAGTTGTACTGCATCTCTTTCCCTTCCATTTCTGTTGTTGTTCGAATATTAGTTGTTGAGCTTCTGTTGACAAGTCGTTTGAGATATCAGAATTCATCAGTTATTAACATAATTGTTCCAAGATTAAGAAGTAACTTCGAAAGATTGTCTTTACAGAACATCATTGGCAGGCTGCTTTTTCGTTCTTGGAAGGACTTCGTTTTGGCTGATAAGAATATTTTAATGTCTCTGTTATTTTATTCATGTCTGTTTGCATTTGGGCTGTCGCCTTCGTTCATAACGTCATTGATAGGTTTCATTTTGAATGCCTGTCGAATATGGTCGCTAGCGCGCACTGTCAGTAACGTACCGAAAGCCAATGCATCAGAGTGAGCCATAAAGATAAGTTTGATTTCTGCACGGTGGTCGAGAATTTGTGAGAGGCCAAGAATCACGTAGGCTGAAAATTGAATCATATCAAATCTGTTATCCATAATTTCCTTTTTTATGTGAATATTGTTTCTAAAGTAGATCATAATACTGTCGGTTTTATATGTTTACCTACAAAAATAATCCAAAACATTTTTGCATTGCTTGCAGAATATTTACCATTAGAGATTACGGTATTTTATGCAAATTGCAGTCAACATGGAGTGTTTTTGACTGGTTTAGATTTTTCTCAGCGGTCTCTGGTAGTTCTTAACTAAGAAAAGAAAATATTTAGAAGAGAAGAGGCAGCCTGATGTGTGTCTGCGTCGACTTTCAAGAATGGTTTTCTTGAAAAGCCAACAGTCAAATAACTATCGTCCAAAGGATGTGCATCTAAACGCATTTGCGCCATGTTTTCTTTGCTAATTTATTGGGTCCCCGAGTCTACTCCTGCCGTTTTGGTTTGTGGTAGCGTTAACCTGCTTTTAGGTAGGTTTGCCTTACAGTATGTAAGCAACTTTATTATATCTTGCTCTCATCCATTCTTGGCCTTCTTGAGAACATCTTGTTGATGGACACCATAAACTCTAGTGCGTTCGTATTACCAGCTGTTTCCTTCTTCGTATGTAGCGTGGTCGATAGGTGTATTCAAAAGGAAATCAGGATTAGACCGATTTTGGAATACTTGGCAAGTTTATTCTGAAGCCACATGACTGTATTAGAAATACCTCCTAATTCATATGACGTTCTCTTACTTTTTTTCATTTTGGACATACACGTTATATTAAATTGATTCTTGAAGCGTCCCCATAGTTAGCCAAGTGACGTTCAGAGCCTATTAATCTGAAGACTGCGGTATCCTAATACATCGATATTGGCGTTTGAAAAACATTTTAACCGCGGGTTTCCTTTATTTTCAGGTAAACGACATGTGCTTTCATCCTCAGCATGGAACTCTTGCCACCGTTGGGTCTGATGGAAGGTACTTCTTTTGGGACAAAGATGCTAGAACGAAGCTAAAAATGTCTGAGAAATTGGAGCAACCCATTACCAGATGCTGTTTGAACAAAACAGGCGACATCTTTGCCTATTCAGTCAGTTACGATTGGTCGAAGGTAAGACAGATTTGAGTTAATAGTTTTCACGCTTGTCTGCTTGTCTTAGAGTATTGAGGCTTGCAGTTTGTTGCATCAGTCCGTGATATGACTTTATGGACTCATGTTAGCATGTGATGTTGAGATATGAATATGAAGAAGTTTGAGGAATGAGCAGCTCTCCTACGTGATATGAGATGATCGTTATGATAAATATGTTTTTCAGATGCAAGTATGCTTCAATCAGCTCACTTGTAAAAGTTAAATTTTCGCCATGTGGTATTGTTACAAAGTTTAAATCCAGATGTAACGATTCTTAGCTTTCTGCTCAGTCCTTAACTTTTTATACTTCTTTGAAAAGCAACTTGCTTCTTAGGACTACATTTTCTTACGGCATTTGTCAAAACTGTTGAAGGTACAGAAATAATCATCTTTCATTTACAGATTTGTTCAGTTTTACTACGTACTATGCTTTTCAAGTCGTTGATTCAGTGCCACAGTGAAACTTTTCTGAGTCTGATCTCCTCAGGCGAGCAAACTTCAGGTCGGATGTTCGAAAGCACGTCATTGTAGTATATTGAAATACTCTTAAACTCTTTTGTCCTAAAACTGTCAGAGAAACTGGTATCCTGATCAATTTCCTAAACTGTTACAGTTATAAACTCTCGATTTGAGAAGAGGCTATTCACGAGGAATTGTACCTCGAATTTTTATATCCTGACGTTTATTGTGCCTCGCACTGGTCGGCAATCGATTGCTAAAATGTCGTCTGTTTATGGTTGTTTTGTCTTTGAATCATGAGATCAGGAAACGAGTAACCGTTTAAGCATCGAACTTCTCATGTTGTTAAATTGTACTGACCATGGCATAATCACATAATTATAATTTTATGTCCCAGCGTTACATTTGCCCGGCATGAAATCTTTTCCTTCAGGTATAGATCAGTACGCCAGTTGGACAGAGTCAAAGATTGTTTTGCGTTAGTTTGTAACAGGTGACATTTTTTGAAACATACAGAATTCCAAGAAATGAAAAAAGAAAATTTGTGACCGTTGGAACGTCGGTCTTCTTTCACTTTCATAATTTGGCCGTTTTGACGCCCTTCTTTTCATGCAATTGATGGTACAATGTTGATTTTTTTTCAGTGTCATAAGCCAGAATCCTTTATCTTGTTAAAGGCAGAGTCTGTAAGCATTTAGCAAGCATAACGTCTAGTACCATTTTCTTCCCACAAAATGGTACTCATTTATAAACCTCGGAAGAATGACGAATAACTCTGACCTGGACTTGAACTAACTTTCTATCGGTTTTGAGTTCGAAGCTCTAATGACCGAACATTCCTTGTCTGAAACAGTGCGTAGTAAATTCATTGCAAAGGCAATTCATGAATATGACAAAGATTGCCTTCGACATGAATCGAACCTTAATAGCGAACTGTCTTTTGTTTTGTTGATTTTCTTGATACTTGGTGATGAAAATTAGAAATTTGTCCGCATTGAATTTTGTCACTGATGATTTTTTCTATTTGTTTTTCTTCTCGTACACGAAACTTATCCCATTGCGTTTCGATCCAGCTACTTAAACGGGCAGTAAATCGAAGACCGAAAAAAATTGGAACAGAAAGGATGACAGAAATAAATGGTTAAGTCTCGGTTCAGAGCACAAAAAAAATTATTTCAACCCGCTGAACTTTTAGAACCGTGTTCTTTTCTACATGTACACAAAAATTATTGCACCTTCTCACAGGAAAGCAATATCGTTTCGAGTTCTGAAACCTCTGTAAATCTGTGGACAATTTTTTATGAGTTTGAGACGGTTTGCGTCCATTAAGATTTTTAGTAGGTCTGTAACGCACTTTCGTACTGAAAATGCGTAACATTTTTTGGTTCCATCATCCCTTTGATGTGTTTGCTACTTTCAGTCGTTCAAGTTTACGTAATGGAGTTATCGTAGTTGCTATGGGCATAATTTTCTATCCGATTATGCCGAAACTGCATTATCAAGTAGGGATTTTTGAATAATGAACAGTATAATTGCGATACTGAATTATGGTTATTGTTGAAGCATAAAACAATTTTATTCATGTCACTGGCGTTCCAAATCTCGAGTATTATTTCAATGCAAATGAACTGTCAGTACTCAATAGTCTGCAAAATGGATTGTTAGACATCACGATTAGGGCATCATTCAGAGAAGTAGTATAGTGTCTTTGATTATTTGCGGTTTACACTCTGTACTGGTTTTATTCAGTTATCAGGCAGGTCAGAACAAATGACAGTCGTAAAGCGCACATATCAGACAGTATGGTCATAAGTCTCTTAAGCACTGGCATGTCCATACTACTACACTATGATACTTTGTTTATAGCTCCACCAGATATCCGTTTCTCCGCTTGTTGCACCGAAGCGCGACAGGCCAGTTCCTTTTCAAAGGAATTAGTAATTAGTAAGAAAACTTATGCTCGCTGCGACTTGAAATTACACTTCTAAAGTGAGACTATGAGTTTAAATGTGAAACGCTGTTTTGAAGTTTATAACATTTTCTTACGGTGTTCTATGAATTTCAGGGACATGAATTTTACAATCCGCAGCAGAAGAATTATATATTTTTGCATGGATGTTCCGACGACATGAAACCGAGATCGAAAAAATAGAAGTTCGTCATTGCGACAGCGTCGAAGCACGCACAACTGTAAATTTATAACGGCCAGTGTGACCGAGAGTGAGAACACACAGACATACAACAGAACATATGGGTACAATTCCGGCAGAAGAGTAACGTCGCATCTTCGTCGTAGCTGCTACTATCGTCGCTATCTTCACCTTCGCTTAGGTTGTCGTTGTCATCGCCATCGTTTTGCGCCTGATGGTCATCGAGGAGCCGCAACGCTGTCTTCTAGAAGCCGTATGATCGACTTGTCGGACATCGCACCTTTGATGAATTCTTCAACTGACAATTTTCCGTCCAAATTCTTGTCCATCATTTGAAAGATCTTGTCAGTTCGTTTCTCCGGTGTCGCCTCGTCGTCCGGCATCTTTACAACGTTGCCGACCATTTTGTAAATTGCCTACATCAAATTATGATCATTACTTTAAGAATTTTGCTGTTCGCGTTAATCTTCCTCTGCAGCAAAGATACACCTCTAAGAGGTAATCAACAAATTTTTAACTTGATTAGTCGACGTTGTGGCGTCACCTGCTATTACTAAAGGTATATGAGACCATTTGAATAGGGTAAGGTTCATCCTTATAACCTATAACTTTTTCTTATCTTGACGTTCATTTCTTTTTGAACTATCCGAACCAAATCGTAGCTAATTCCCCGTTGCGTAGTTGATGCCAACAAATTTTGGACCTATAATCGAAATCCTCATTTATTCATTCATTTTGAATTTAGATTTTCGAAGGAGCAAATTAGTCATCAAATGTCTACAGTAATAAAACAGTAAATGAGGTGAAAAAAATCTGCGCGATGAAATATG